AGAAATTTATGAAAATCAAAAGGGAGCTTACATCAATAGATATAAACAATTCATCAAAGTTTCAAGAGAATTGCTGACAGCATTTTTGAGTTATTGTCCGAAAACTGGAAAATCCCCCCTTTTTTAATGAATAAAACCCCATAACTCAGAAATGTAAAATATAAAATTTATAAAATTCTAAAGGGAGCTTACATCAATAGATATAAACAATTCACCAAAGTTTTATAAGAACTGCTGAAAGCATTTGTGAGTTTTTGTCTGAAAACTGGAAAAACCCCCTTATTTTAATGAATAAAACCCCATAAATCGGAAACGTAAAATCTCATATTTAAAAAAAACGAAAGGGAGATCATGTCAATAGATATAAACAATTCAACAAAGTTTTATGCAAATTTGTTAAAGCGCTTGTGAGTTAATGTCCGACATGTTGATGACGGACGGACGGACGGATGGACGGACAGACGAACAGACGGACAGACAGACGGACAACAGTATACCATAATACGTCCCTTAAACGAGCGTATAAAAACTTAAATAACTGCTCAAATATTGAATTGATTTTATCAAAACAAAAAATATAAGATCAAAAATTAAATTATCTATCCAATGCATAACCTTAACGCTCACTAATACATCTTTTACATGTCCTGAGTGCACTTTTTATGGCATGAGTGCACTCAGGAGGTCCTGAGCAGTTTTTAGACGTACCGAATTTACAGAGGCAGGTATAAATATTTGTAAAATTGCATTAAATCTTTCACTAGCCGACCGAGTGAGGGCTGTATAGCCAGTCAAGATTGTTAAAAACTTCCATCATCAAACCTTTCATTTAACAGCAATTTGTAGAAGTGATTATTTCGAACCTTCGAATATGTGTAAAATAATGAATTGTTTTTGTTTATTGTATTCACTATTTATATAAACTCATGACGATTTAGACCTTGACATTTCGTGTAGACACCTGTTTCTTGTTGAAGACTAAAAGTGCCCTCTTGATTTACCTTTGGTGTTTTTGTCGTTTGGTTGCTGTCAAATTGAAGTATATCCTACATGTCCTATAGTTTGAGTTCAGTTTGATTACTTTTAAGCCAGTTTATAAGAATTCATAAATGAAAGGATTATTTGCATGAGTATAGATCTATTGCTATTCTCTCCCCCCCCCCCCCCCCCCCTCCAGTCATGAATATACTCAGAGGAAGATTAATTGTTGAGAGATGTACCTAAATTTATGGTACATAGTTAACAGAAAAAAGTTTCACTTCTCAGTCTTTAATTTCATCCCTCCTCCCACAATATTTCAACTGTATTAATTTTAAAGACATGTCACATCCAAACGAAGTCTTGTTGATTTGCAACTTATATTTTTTTTTCTGTTTTGGCACATACTTATATATGAACCTCATTAAATTCGATCTCAAAATATTACTGACTATAAAGGAATAGATATTTTAAAAAGTCTTAATAAATTCCATTGAGCACAAAACTAATCCAAATCCGACTACTATTATTTCGTGATTCAAAAATACGTTTTTTTTTTACAGAAATTACAATTATTTTTTTTTATCTGATATGACTTTTAAACACTGATTTAAGATATACATTGTCCACAAAATATCATAAAATATTCCCAGTTTAAGGAATACAAATTTTTTTACAAGGTTGTTAATTGTTTAAATATGTCGTAATTTGCTAGGTCAGTGGCGGATTCAGGGGCCGACTTAGCGTACGTTTCCCCTTTGATTGGAAAATATATCATTTTAAGCATAATTAAAATCATCAATTTTTTCCCTCCCTACACTCGGCGTTATTTCTTCGTCTGTATATCACAGCTAGTGAATTAGTCTAAATGTCCATCCAATGTATAGATATATTTCTTTTTCATCACTTTTTTATTCTTAAATATAAGCGTTGTCTATTTTTTATCTGACAAGCCCACACAGGGACTTTTTCATTAGTATAGAAAGTCCCTGGCCCACAATAGCAACAACATCCTTTTGATGATCAATTCATTATAAAAAAAAACTAAAACTATGTGGACGGTGCCCACAGGTTTGTTTAATAAGACAGCTGATTGGATAAATGTGATAGATTGTCACGCCTACATTAAACTGATGTCCAATCAAATGCCAACAGAAACCTGTCAATAAAAAAATTACTGCAAGCGTGAATAAGCTAGAGATTTGATTGTGCATTCGATATTTGAAAATAAAATGTTAGATAGTCACTTTTCGTTCAACATTAAATTGTGAAGAACATGTTCGTGTAACAACCCTCCCCTTTCCCCCTTCTTATTTTTACACTTTCTTTTTTAACAGAAAAGTATAAAATATGAGCGTACTACACGTTTCTAAAATTTACAAGAATTCTATATAGCGACTTGTGATTTCCGGGAACGACGTATTTCAAGATTTCACAGACCTCTGAAAAAGTTAGATCATACAAGTTTCATCTACCATGTGCAGAAAAAACACCACCAAATTATATTTGTAAATTGGAAGAGATTAAGAATAGTTTTATATACGTACTAAAAATCTACTGCAATTATTTGAAAAAAAACAAAACATATTTCTCTCTGCCTGAATGCAATCAAAAGCACATTTTCATTTTATTCTTTATCTATTTCAAAAGACGAAGAATTCTCCTTAAAACTGTAAATTATTAAACAGACAGACTAACTTTAAAGGAAAAAATACAAGTGTGTACTACCATCCAAGGAAATAAGTTTTCCATAAAGTAACTAATCCTTAATTCACAACCGTGAAAACTTTGGACTCATTTTTGATATTTACCTGAGAGATCATAAAGGACATACATTATCTACCAAGAACTTAAAAAAAGTGGCAAAAATGAAACAATAATTTTTTTTTTTATGGTAGACGAGTAGTAAATTGAATAAGGAAATGTTATTGAAAGATAATTAAGATAATTATGTTAATCTTTCTAAGCAAAGTGGCAAAAACACGCATATAGAGTTACGAAGTTGCAAAAAAAAAATATATTGATAGTCAATTTTAACTATTTTATATAAATTATATAGGTCGAACACGACACACGATTCGTGATTTCCAATGTACATGATTTAAAAAAGTTTTTTTTTCTTCTATAGATTGCATTCCGAAGATCATATGCTTGGCTATGATCATTGAATGTTCAGCAAACAATATTACATGATATTCAGGATGATATCAATGGAAAGCAAAAGAAAAAGATTTAATTTTTGTAATCAGCATTCCTTAAATTCAACATTTAAAACAGTTTTGTTTTTAAGCAATAAATATAAAATTGAGAATGACTGATGTACTTATTATTCTCTCTAACATTTAGCATTGGTAGTCCAGACAGATTTCTCTCCATGAGTAAGGGAGGTACTGGGTTGGGGAGGTCCAATTCTTAACAGTAAGCGGACAAGAAGTCACAGGACAAAAAGTCACAAATAATTTGTTGACAATTGTTTAATAGATATAAGAAGATGTGGTATGAGTGCCAAGTTTAAGTATGTAAGAGAAAGATCTTGTAAAATTACCTTTTATTAAGTATATACTTTTTACAGTTTATGAAATTGTTCATTAGCCTTGATAAATGAACATTTATTAAATTTTAATCATGCAATGATATAATATTTCTTAGCTCCACGAAGCTGTTTAGGTACCAAGCCACTTTGAAAGTTTGTTTTCTAAACAATTATTTGATCATTTAATACATTTGTTTACAGAGTTGGTTTATGTATACAATAGTTCAAGACAAATACAAATTTTTTTTTTTTAAACAAGTATTTTCTTATTCAAAGAAAATAGTCTCAGAAACTGAATTGTGACTTTTTGTTTTGTGACTTTCTGTCCTACATTCTGTTCAACAACCCAACATGTTCATTAGAGATTGATATTTACGAGTAAAGTTGGAACATAGGTCAATTTTCCCAATAACTGTTCTGTTGTAAACATGACCTTTTGTTTTTGTCGACATGCGCTCGCCGTATCAGGCTAGAACAAATCAATGCATATCAATGTCACCTGTGTCTTTTCCTCGACTGAATGTTTTTAGCAATATAAATATTGGTTTAAATTGTATCGTAATGAATTGCATTTGATCCTAGTCTAAGCTTAATTTTCTGTTGAATCAGTTGAACATCTCAGTGGTCATCGATGTGTAATATTTGACACTGGACATTATTTTAGGAGTGATGCAATACAAATAATGTATTTCTACACTGTAAAAGTCATGCTTAGAAATTAAACACTTGTGTTACATGTTTAGATCTAAAAGTGTTTAGGACTGTGTTTAATTTCTAAACACATTTCTCAGTAAGCACATAATATCTAAACATGACTTGAATTTAAACACTTTTAATGTGTTTAAAAATGAAAGTGTTTAGAAATAAAACACTTATTTCTAAGCTAAACACGATTCTAAACATTTGTAGTGTTGAGACAAAAATTTATCTTTGACTCACCTTTTATCTTTTGATAATTTTTAAGAAAGCAGTCAGTGTTTCGGAACCGTAACCTCTCACTACTCACGTCATGATACTGGACCTACAAGACTGTCTACCAGTCTACCAGTTGATGGTTTAGTGTTGAGACAAAATTTATCTCTGACTCATAATTTAACTTTGGAAAATACTTTTGCGAATCTTTCATTTTTGAGACTTTTACATTTTGATTTTGAGATTAAGTTCATTTTATGATTTAGTAGTTTTGGCATTTATTTTACATTTTACATTGTAAGGAGAAATAGTTTTACTTTGGATTTTATATTTAGATTTGATACTTTGTACTTTAATTTGATTATTATTATTTGGCATTGTTTAATAATTGATTGTTATCATCATTCATCTAAATTGTTATCGTTTATTAAATTATGAAAAACCTTCCTTGCATTTTAGCTATATGCCTATCAGAACATTAAGTCTAGCGATAGACTGACCCCCTGTCCCTTGGTTCCAGCACATACGAGTTAGCTCCCCCTTATCTAACAGTGCTCTGGACCTTGGTGACACATACCTTTATTGTTTCTTTCACCATAGGTTTTCTTTACCACATGTGATACTTCATCAGCACCAATATTGGTATCCCCATTATTAACTTTTGTAAAAAAAGATATTAAGATAAAATACAATGGTTATAAAGAATTGTAAAAAAAAATAGTATTCTTCCTTCATGAGAAATATTGAGGTGAAGCTGTTGGTTAATGAGATTTACAGTGTGTGGGTTAATAACATTGATAATGATAAATACTCCAAATTATCATCTTTTGCAATAAATGTTCAAATATGACCTTACTATTTGTTATAATGTTAATGGGATTTGAAATAAATGTACATTCATATATCAAACTGCTTGCAATTTAGTCAAAAGCACACTATGTCAGTGTTTAAAATACTTTTAAAGAAATTTCATTCAGTTTTCCTTATTGTAATTAGCTTTGGACAATAAACTGGTAATTATGTGTCACTAATGTCAGCATGTTTGCAATCCAAACAACATCAATTTATAAAGAGTCTTCAAATCATCAATTCCTTATTTTTAAAGACATTTCTCCTAGATTTTTCGAAGAATTTAGAAAATGTCCTAATCCCAGGGCTCGACAATAATGCTTATCCAATTGTCCAGTACCAGAGGAAAGAAAGGTCGGACAAGTAAAAGCCATATCAAGCTTGTCCGATGGGACAAGTAAGAAAATATATTAAATCCAACTTTGATGATCAAAGTAATAAACAAAAAACAAGAAAAGAAGATAAAAACAAATATTAATTTGACATGTTTACTTGCGATCGATAATTTAAAACTGGTTCTTTGTCAGATACTTTATAACAGATAAAATGCATACTATTCTCAGAAACCAGTCTTACCAATCTTGGATCTAGCATTATATTTACCAGTTCAAACTTCTAGAGAGACTGCATATTCAAAAATATTCTGACAATACCATTGTAAGAATTCAAAACATAGCAAAAGACAGACCAGCTATGAGTTCCTTTCAAGGTTGGTTCAAATTGACCTAACAATTTCAATATGATCCACCTGGGCAATGTTGCAATGTTTGCAAATCAATCAACATTAATTCAGGATCATTTGTAGAAAGTTAAATGTCAAACCTCTCCTTATATTTAGCCTTATATTTAGCCTGTAGTTCCAAAAAAGCTTTTAGAAAATTGGCCAATCAAAATTAAAGATGTCCTCTGGCAGTCATATTTTTCATCGGAATGGAACCAATTGAACATTTGTTTGTAACAGACCTTCTACTTATCATTCCTACATGTACAAAGTTTGGTTATAATTGGAGATGTCATTTCACAGAAGATGTAGATATGAAATTTTTTCAGAACAAGCCCTTATTGTGCATATTGAAATCGTGCAAGAATAAAATTGGATATTTTGAAAGCATTTAATCATAAGCATATAACATGGCTCTGTAGAAAAACATGCCTGGGGATACTGTTTTTTAAATCAAACAGTTTTTTATGATCACCAATTCAAACAATTATGTAAAGTGTCCACTCAATCCATCCAAGCAAACTCAAGTTATAGTAAAGTATGTGAAAAATTCAACAAAATCTGATAATTAAAGACCCATAACTCAAGAGCGACACACAGAAAAATTTTTAAAAATCCAAAGGTAGCTTCCTTTCATAAATCCCTACAATAATGTAAGGTTTGAAGGAAATCAATCAAGGAATACTGGAGTAAGTGTGCAATTTTTAAATAAATTGCCTTAAATGTAACAATTAAAGTTCCAGAACTCAGAAATTACAAACAGGAAAATAAAACAAATTCACCAGGGAGCTTTCTTTTATCAATCCCCAAAATAATGTAAAGTTTGGAGGGAATCAAATCAGGAATACTGGAGTCAGTGCAAGGATTGTGAAAAACTTTCTTAAATCTAAGGGTCAAAGTTCCGTAACTCTGGAATGACCAAACCAAAAATAAAAAAAAACGAAATGGAGCTTTCTTCATTCAATTCTAATGTTACATTCAATTTATATGAGAATTGGTTAAAGCCAATTTGAGTTATCGTACGAAGTGTTCACGGACAAACGGACAGACAAATGGACATTTGTATACCATAATACATCCCATCTTTGACAGGCGTATAAAAATCAGTTGAAAAGGGCTTCACTCATCAGATCGATACAAAGCACAAAAAACCTTAACAAAAACACAAAAGACACAAAGTACAGATCTTAGAGTACTCGCAGTTACTGAAAGCTAGTTCAAAGCCAATACAACTAATAAAAAAGTATGTATTAGTGTTTTGTAGTTGTATATCGTGTGCAGGTCATATATTTAGCTTGAAAATGTAGCTTGTGCAAAATCTCTCCCTCAGCTGTCATAGCTGAGGGAGAGATCTCCCTCATTGAAGGTTTAAGAGGTTGGCTGGTATGGTATCACCTTTTTTTGTGTTCAATTTTTTTTTTGTCTAAAAGTCTAAGGTTTTTTTTTCAAATCATAGTGAATATTGAGAAGACATTTTGCTAATTACACACATTATTATCTTGAATTTTTAAAAGAATCATTTACCTCTACAGCTCTGTGTAAGTTGTTCAAAAACTTGTTTCGATCTAAAAGGAGGTAAGGATCTGTTTTCAACCAATCTAATTAGACATTCATCTGTAAAACAAATCCAAGAATTTAACAATGGAAAAACCATACAAAAAGGTCAATATTTATATACCTTTTGATCCATGATTATCTCAGCATTTTTTTTCAAAATTGGACATCTGCCTAAGTCTTATTGTATTCTTTATTTTAACTGATTCAAATAAGAAATAAAAATATATAAAATGGTTTGGACAGTAGATGGAAGGTTTTCATTGATAAACAAAAAAGTTCACATTTTACAGCAAAACAATTAGCCTCTAATGTTGACATTAGCAATACTTTGTGATATTTAATATAGTTACATATTCATACTTTAAAAGGCACATTCAGCAGTAGATAAGTAAAGCCAAATTAAATGAGATGTATTTATCAGTTCAAAATCATCTGGCTTCTTTTTTACTTAACAAGCTTAAATATCATAAATATGAAAACTATATATTCTACAAATACTTGAAAAATAACCTTTAAGATTTATTGTTACAATTAATCTCTGCCAATATACCACATTATCTATAAATGAGACATCAAACTGTATTTTCAAATCACATGTTAAATGGTTTCTTTCAGGGATCACTGATATTCTGTTATCAGGTTGGTGTGCTATATACTTGCCTCCTTGTAACTTAACTGTAAATAGAAACATATATATCACTCTCTGTTATTCATTTATTTTCTATGATTATATCATTATAATACTTATTATAGCTTACAGGTTAGCTACCACCACACTGACCAAACATAAAACTCCATAAGAACACAGTTTATAGTTCACTACCTGAAATGCAAGCATCTTTACTGATTTCTACTTGAGTACAAGGCTGTGTCTGACACAGGCACTTGTCTTCGAAATAAAATTTCCTATATACATTAAAATAACACATGTTTACTCTACATCCAGGAAAGTCTTAAAGAATACAAAGGAACTCTGTGCTGTATGAATTAGAATGAAAGATTTCTACACATAACCATGTATACATCATGGAACTACCATTATGATATCAACAGTACTGTTTTTAGAGAAACTGTAAACTCAAAAATCTTCTGACAATACAATATAACTAGAGGCTCTAAAGAGCCCGTGTCGCTCACCTGGTCTGCATCTTCAACAATGGTCACTCATTAGTAAAAGATCATCATTAAAGAGGAATAACTCTATTAAGAGGTAACTGACAATTTCAGTCATGCTGACATATTTGTATATCTTATCCTGCTGATCATTTTTCCTTTTTTCCATTTTCTATTTATCTATACATGTAATAGTATTCAAGGTAAAAGGCAAAAAATACAGAAAAATGTTAGAAATTGTCATTAAATGGCATAACTCCAATAACGAGTCAACTGATGTTTTCGGTAATTTGGCTTATTTGTAGATCTTGTCTAGCTGATCATTTGTGCTATTTAAAGTTTCTATGTATCGGTTATAGTTTTCAAGATAGTAGGCAAGATATGAAAACTAGAGGCTCCAAGGTGCCTGTGTCACTCACCTGATATTTTTGTTTACAATTGATGCATGAAATAAAGCAACCATTATACTTTTGCTTTAGTTTTAGAAAAATAAGCCAAAAACTGCATTTTACCTCTATGTTCTTTTTTTAGCCATGTCAGCCATGTTGGTTGGCAGGCGGGGTCATCAGACACATTTTTAAACTAAATACCCTAATGATGATTGTGGCCAAGTTTGGTTAAATTTGTCTCAGCAGTTTCAGAGAAGATTTTTGTAAAAGATTACAAAAATTTACGAAAAGTTGTTAAAAATTGACTTTAAAGGGCAATAACTCCTTAAGGGGGTTAATTGACAATTTGGTCATGTTTGACTTATTTGTAGATCTTACTTTGCTGAACATTATTGCTGTTTACAGTTTCTCTCTATCTATAATTACATTCAAGATAATAACCAAAAACTGCAAAATTTCATTAAATTTACTAATTCAGGGGCAGCAACACAACAACAGGTTGTCTGATTCATTGGAAAATTTCAGGGCAGATAGATCACAACCTGATGCACATTTTTAACTATGTCAGATTTACTGTAAATGCTTTAGTTTCAGAGATATAAGCCAAAAACTGCATTTTACCCCTATGTTCTATTTTTAGCCATGTTGGTTGGCAGGCAGGGTTGTCAGACACATTTTTTAAACTAGATACCCCAGTAATGATTGTGGCCAAGTTTGGTTTAATTTGACCCAGTAGTTTCAGAGGAGAAGATTTTTGTAAAAGTTAACGACGACGGACGATGACGGACGACAACAGATGATGGATGCCAAGTGATGAGAAAAGCTCACTTGGCCTTTTATGCCAGGTGAGCTAAAAATGTAAAATTAAGTCATTAAAGGGGAGTAACTTCAATAAGGAGTTGAAAAGCAGTTTCGGTCATGTTCAATTATTTGTAGATCTTGTCTTGCTGTTCATTTTTGTGGTTTTAAGTTTCTATCTATCTATTATAGTTTATATTTAAAGATATTAGCCAAAACCCAAACAATTGGTAACAAGTGCACACGCTGAAATGTCTCGCCTACTATACTGACCATTGATTTTATGTTGATAATCCTACATATAAAGTTTTACTACAAGTATCACATTAACATTTATGATCGAAGAAAATGAGGTCAAGATCAGATAAACCAAGCCAGAAATACATGTACACCTTTAATACAATTCCTCCATACACAGAATAAAGATGACCTATTGCTTATAGTATAAAAGAAACAGACCAAACCATGGAAATTCTATACTGACCAATGAACCATGAAAATGAAGTCAAGGTCATTTGAACCCTGCCAGACTGACATGTACACCTTAAAATCATTCCATGCATCAAATATAGTTGACCTATTGTGCTTAAGGTATCTAAGAAAAAAAGTTAATCAGGAAAACTGAACATTGACCAATCAACCATGAAAATGAGATGAAGGTCAGATGATACCTGCCAGACAGACATATATACACCTTACAATCATTCCATACACCAAATATAGTTGACCGATTGCTTAAAGTTTAAGAAAAACAGACCAAAACACAATAAATTGCTTCGCCAAGAGCAGCGCTAGCTGGATACGACCGCAGAGGTCCAACCTTGAACAGTTGGGGCAAAAATGGACACAATATTCGCGCTTGATAAAAGTCTGAATTTGGATTGTAATTCAATATTTGACAAATTGGTTTCTGACACAGAATAACTGAAGTCAAATAAATTAGAATTGGATAAATGATTTGAATTTATATTCAATTTTTTGCTTTTGTGCAATACACTATGCAGTTGCGAATTGACCTCCCCCAACCCCTTTTTTTTCAAAAAAAAAAAATTGAAGGATTTTCTTTTTGATTTCTGAAATCTTAAGGAGAAAAAATTGTCCCCCCTAATTTTTTTTTAACCCCCCCCCCCCCTCCCCCCCTTTTTTTCCAAAAAAAATTCTTTCCCTCAGTCATGGTCATAATTTCAATTCAAATTTCTAATGGAGTTTGCAACCATAATAACCCATTTAAATACATCATAAAAGTCTTAAAATAGAAAATGACATACATAATCATAGCTAAAATTAATTTACCTTAATCAGCATTTTTAAAATTATTAAAATAGTAAGGCCAAAAAAAAATATATGTCTGTTTAAGGTTACATCATTAAAAAAAATAGGGTAGGTAGGTCGGTATTTCCATTTTATTTTATGTTTTCATTTTGTTTTTTGCGACATGATTTTGAGTCGAGCGCTCCGTCTTGCTGTGGTCCTAGTTGTCCATGGGCCAAGTTTACCAATATTTTTAATGATTGGATTATTTCCCTTGGTTATTCATTGAAAAAAATGGCGGCAAAGTGTTTATTTCATCACATGAGTCGCGAGTTTCTTATTCACGATTGTGAACATTTAGATGTATCAGGCAAATGATTTATTTTAATGGCAACTCTAACTTCGCTTTTGACACGAGTTCAGTCAATTCTTCACTTTTTGAAGGGAATAAAATGACTTAGGGTCTGTGCTAAAAAGTAGGGTTGGTCGGGTAACCGTAAACAGACATATATTTTTATTTGGCCTAACTTCTAAAAATAAATTGACAGCTAATCACCTCATGACAATACAAAAATTCTTTATACGTATTTTAAAACAGTGTAAGGGAGGTAATTCAAAGTAGTTTTTGAATTACCTCCCTTACACTGTAATTTGTACTTAAGTAATTGTCCATTAACCAGGACACCCTTGTTTTTTCTCCCTTTTTTGCCCCTAATTCCTAAACGGTTTGAGCCATAACCCCCCAAAGCCAATCCTAACCATCCCTTTGTGGTATGGAAACTTGTGGTATAATTTCAGAGAGATCCATAAACTGTTCCACAAGTTATTGTCATGAAACTAGAAAAATGCTTATTTGGGCCCTTTTTGGACCCTAATTCCTAAACTGTTGGGACTATAACCCCCAAAATCAATCCCAACCTTCTCTTTGTAGTTATAAACCTTATATTCAAATTTCATAGAGATCCATTCCCTTAAACTAAAGTTAATGTGCGAAAACCAATGTGTCTTCAGACGACGACGACGACGCCAACGTCATACCAATATACGACCGTGGTCGTATAAAACTTAACATAAGCAATGAACCATGAAAATGAGGTCAAGGTCAAATAAAACCTGCCAGACTGACATGTACATCAGTAAATATTTCCATACACCAAATATAGTTGACCTACTGCATACAGTATTAGAAAAACAGACCAAAGCACAAAAACTTAACATTAAGCAATGAACCTTGAAAATGAGGTCAAGGTCAAATAAAACATGCCAGACTGACATGTACATCGTAAAATATTTCAATCAACCAAATATAGTTGACCTACTGCATACAGTATTAGAAAAACAGACCAAAACACAAAAACTTAACATTGAGCAATGAACCGTGAAAATGAGGTCAAGGTCAAATAAAACCTGCCAGACTGACATGAACATCGTAAAATATTTCCATACACCAAATATAGTAGACCTTTTGCATACAGTATTAGAATAAACTGCTTCGCTGAGCGCAGCTGGATACGCCCGCAGAGGTCCAACACTGAACAGTTGGGGCAAAAATGGACACAATATTCAAGCTTGATACGGGTCTGAATTTGGATTGTAATTAAATATTTGATATATTATAGGTTTCTGAATAAATGTAGTCAAAGAACTTTAAATTGGTTATATGAAAGATTTCTTGCTGTTGTGCAATACACTGTGCTGTTGCGCAATACTAAGTAAATCTGTTGTCAGACTATAAACAAATAAAGTTCTATTTCTTCTCAATGTCATATTTGAAATTGATGAAAATCAATAGGGAGATTACATCAATAGCTATAAATAATTCACCAAAGTTTCAGGAGAACTGATGAAAGCATTTTTGAGTTATTGTCGAAAAACTGGAAAATCCCCCCTTTTTTAATGAATAAAACCCTATAACTCAGAAATGTAAAATCTAAAATTTATAAAATTCAAAAGGGAGCTTACATCAACAGATATAAACAATTCAACAAAGTTTCATGAGAACTGCTGAAAGCATTTTTTAGTTATTGTCCGAAAACTGGAAAATCCCCCTTTTTTAATGAATAAAAACCCTGTAACTCTGAAACGCAATATCTAAAATTCATAAAAAGCGAAAGGGAGCTCATGTAAATAAATATAATCAATTCACCAAAATTTCTTGCAAGTTGGTGAAAGCATTCTTGAGTTATTGTCGGAAAACTGGAAAATCCCCCCTTTTTTAATGAATAAAACCCCAAAACTCAGAAATGGTAAATCTGAAATTTATAAAAAACGAAAGGGAGCTCACGTCAATAGATATAAACAATTCAATAAAGTTTCATGCATACTAGTAAAAGTGTTTTTGAGTTAATGTCCGACATGTTGACGACGGACAGACGGACAGACAGACGGACAACGGTATACCATAATACGTCCCGTTAACGGGCGTATAAAAACAGGCCAAAACACAATAAAATGCTCCGCAGGGCGCAGCTTGATACGACCGCAGAGGTCGAACCCTGAACAGTTAGGGCAAGTATGGACACAACATTCAAGCTTGATACAGCTTTGCAGTTGGAAAGTGATTAAATATTTGACACAGCATAGGTTTCTGACACAGAATGAATGTGGTCTAAGAACATAAAAATTTTAAATTGGACATTCACCTATTATGGTCCAATATCCAAAATCTAAATACATGGTTAGATTCAGCATATCAAAGAACCCCAAGAATTCAATTTTTGATGAAATCAAACAAAGTTTAATTTTGGACCCTTTTGACCTCAATGTGGACAAAGTTGATAACGGGGCCCAAAAATCAAAAATCTAAATACATAGTTAGATTCAGCATATCAAAGAACCCCATATATTCAATTTTTGTTGAAATCAAATAAAGTTTAATTTTGGACCCCGATTTGGACCAACTTGAAAACTGGGCCCATAATCACAAATCTAAATACATGTTTAGATTCAGCATATTAAAGAACCCTAAGAATTCAATTTTTGTTAAAATCAAACTAAGTTTAATTTTGGACCCTTTGGACCTTAATGTAGACCAATTTGAAAACGGAACCAAAAATTAAGAATCTAAATACACGGTTAGATTCGGCATATCAAAGAACCCCATTAATTCAATTTTTGATGAAATCAAACAAAGTTTAATTTTGGACCCTTTTGACCTCAATGTGGACAAAGTTGATAACGGGGCCCAAAAATCAAAAATCTAAATACATAGTTAGATTCAGCATATCAAAGAACCCCATATATTCAATTTTTGTTGAAATCAAATAAAGTTTAATTTTGGACCCCGATTTGGACCAACTTGAAAACTGGGCCCATAATCAAAAATATAAATACATGTTTAGATTCAGCATATTAAAGAACCCTAAGAATTCAATTTTTGTTAAAATCAAACTAAGTTTAATTTTGGACCCTTTGGACCTTAATGTAGACCAATTTGAAAACGGAACCAAAAATTAAGAATCTAAATACACGGTTAGATTCGGCATATCAAAGAACCCCATTAATTCAATTTTTGATGAAATCAAACAAAGTTTAATTTTGGACTCTTTGGACCTCAAAGTGGACCAATTTAAAAATGGGGCCCAAAATCCAAAAACTAAATACATGGTTAGATTCAGCATATTATAGGACCCCAAGAATTCAAGAATAAAACCCCATTGAAATTGGTCAAGAAATAAGCAATTTATATGAAGTATCTTCTTTTGCACAATACTGTGCAATTAAATATTTCTTGCTATTGCGCAATACTGTACAATTGACAATTTCTTGCTATTGCGCAATATTGTGCTATTGGATATTTCTTGCTATTGCGCAATACTGTGCAATTGAAGATTTCTTGCTATTGCGCAATACTGTGCAATTGAAGATTTCTTGCTATTGTGCAGTACTGTGCAATTGAAAATTTCTTGCTATTGCACAATATTTATTATATAATAATTTACACATCCTGTTTGGTGTGTATCTCCTACCATATCATTATTATTTGCTTTTAAATATAAATCAGAAATAACCAACTTAAAATGGAAAATTTTAAAAGAAAAAAAAAGAAAAAAAAGGAAAAAAAAAACAAACCCCCCACCCAAATTTTTTGAACCCCCTTATGATTCATCACCCCCATCATCAATCCCAGCCTTCCCTTTGTGGTATGGTACCTTGCAGTACAATTTCAGAGAGATCCATACACTTGAACACAAGTTATTGTCTGGAAACTAAAAAAATGCTTATTTTTGGCCCCTTTTTGGCCCCCAATTCCTAAACGTTTTGGCAATTACCCCCAAACTCAATTCCAGCTTTCCCTTTGTGATATGGAACCTTGTAGTACAATTTCAGAAAGATCCATACACTTACACACAAGTTATTGTCATGAAACTAGAAAAATGCTTGTTTTTTGCCCCTTTTTTGGCCCCTAATTCCTAAAATTTTGAGGCAATTACCCCCAAAATCAATTCCAGCATTCCTTTTGTGATATGGAACCTTGTGGTACAATGTCAGAGAGATCCATACACTAACACACAAGTTATGTCTGGAAGTTACAAAAATGCTTATTTTTGGCACCTTTTTGGCCCCTTATTCCTTTACTGTTGGTACCATAACCCCCAAAATCAATCCCAACCTTCCTTATGTGGTATTAAACCTTGTGGTAAAATTTCATAGAGATCCATTCACTTAAACTAAAGTTAGAGTGCGAAAACCAATGTGTCTTTGGACGACGCAGGACGACGACGACAACGACGACGCCAACGTCATACCAATATACGACCACAAAAATTTTTTGGCGGTCGTATAAAAACTAAACTATGACTACTGAACCATGAAAATGAGGTCAAGGTCAGATGACACCTCCCAGTTGGACATGTACACCTTACAATCATTACATACACCAAATATAGTAGAGCTATTGCTTAAAGTATCTCAGATATGGACTTGACCATGAAAACTTAACCTTGTTCACTGATCCATGAAATGTGGTCGAGGTCAAGGGAAAACAGCTGTCTGACAGGCATATAGTTATCCTATTACTCATAATAAGAGAGAAATTAACACTACAAAAAAATCATAACTTTTTTTCTAGTAATCACTGAACAATGAAAATGAGGTCAAGGACAATGGACATATGACAGATGAAAACTTCATATCATGAGGCATCTATAAACAAAATATGAAGCATCCAGGTCTTCTACCTTCTGAAATATTAAGCTTTTAAGAAGTTAGTCAACGCCGCTGCCGCCGGATCACTATCCCTATGTTGAGCTTTCTGCGACAAAAGTCGCAGGCTCGACAAAAATTGTCATTAGAGGGCATTAACTCTAATAACGAGTTGACTGAAAATTTCAACTAAGTTGACTTATTTGTAGATCCTGTTGTATGGATCATATTTGCTTTTTAGGTTTCTATATATCTGTTATAATTTTTAAGATATTAGGCAATAACGCAAAAAATTGTCATTAAAGGGCAATAACTCTATAAAGGATTTTTTTTTATGAAAATTTATTTGTAGATCTTGTCTTGCTGATCTTTTTCTCTCCATTTAAAGTTTCTGTCCATCTATTTTAATATTTCGAGATAATAGGCAAAATTTTTTTAAAATGATAAAATTGTCATTTAAAGCTAATAACTCCTATAAGTCGTCTGACAGTTTGGACCTAAATAGACAAAATGTAGAGCTCCTTATTCTAACATTTTTGCCTCTGTCAGATTTACCCTATTAATAGTGGTTTCAAAATAATAGGCAAACTTGCATTTTACTCCCTATGTTCTAATTTTAGCAATGTCGGCCATATTGGATAGAAGGTGGGGTCATCAGACATTTTTTAAAACTAGAGTTTGCTTAAATTTGGCCAAGTTGTTTCAGAGAAGAAGATTTTTGTAAAAGTTAACAGACTACGAGATGACAATGGAAGACAAGTTTTGACGAAAGCTCACCTGGCTCTGGGCATTTTTATTATTTTGAACATAAATTAGGCTGTTAATTTTCTTGTTCGAATTGTTTTACATTTGTCATTTCGGGGCTTTTTATAGCTGACTATGCGGTATGGGCTTTGCTCATTGTTGAAGGCAGTGACCTATAGTTGTTAATTTCTTTGTCATTTGGTCTCTTGTGGAGAGTTGTCTCATTGGCAATCATACCACATCTATTTTTAAGTTAACCCGTATGTGATTAAGTTGAAATCCTCAAATTCATACAAGGCTCATAAAAACCTGAAAAAAAACACAAAAAATACAAACTACAGATCTCAGAGCACTCGCAGTTACTGAAAGCTAGTTCAAAGCCATTAACAACTAATAAATAAATTATGAATTGGTGTTTTGTCAATGTAAATAGTGTGCAGGTCATAAATTTAGCTTCAAAATATTGTTTGTGCAAAATCTTCCCCTCAGCTGTCATAGCGGAGAAGGAGATTTCCGTCATTGAAGGTGTCAGAGGTTAGCAGGTATGCATCACCTTTTTTTGTCTAAAAGTCTAAGGATTTTTTTTTCAAATCATAGTGAATATTGAGAAGACTTTTTGCTAAACACACATTATTATCTTGAATTTTTAAAAGAATCATTTACCTCTACAGCTCTGTGTAAGTTGTTCAAAAACTTGTTTCGATCTAAAAGGAGGTAAGGATCTGTCTTCAACAAATCTAATTAGACATTCATCTGTAAAACAAATCCAAGAATTTAACAATGGAAAAACCATACAAAAAGGTCAATATTTATATACCTTTTGATCCATGATTATCTCTGTGGTTTTTTTTTTCAAAATTTAATATCTGTCTTATTGTATTTTTTTTTAACTACCAGTAGTTCAAATTAATAGAAAGAATAATAAGTAAAGAGTTTGAACAATGGACAAAATCTCATGACATTTAGGGAAAAGTAACAACATTTTTATTGTGGTTCTTTATCTGTGCAGTCATAAGCTGGAAGGCTTTCATTGATAAGAAACAGACAAAAATTCACATTTTACAGCAAAACAGTTAGCCTCTAATGTTGACATTAGCAATACTTTGTAATATCTAATATAGTTGCATATTACTTAAAAAGGCACATTCAGCAGTAGATTTGATGAGATGTATTTATCAGTTCAAAATCATCTGGCTTTTTCTGCACTATTAAAACAAGTTTAAATATCATGAATACAAAAAATAAATTCTACAAACACTTGAAAAATAACCTTTAAGATTTACTGTAACAATTAATCCTTGCCCATACACCACATTATATATAAATGGGACAACATCATCCTGTGATTTCAAATGGTTTCTGTTAAGGGTCTCTGATACTCTGTCCTCACATGTTTGGTTTATCTTAGGGATCTTGGTCTCAGGTCGGGGTGCTAAACTCTTGACTCCTTTATCTGTAACTGTGAATAGAAACAAAAAGTATAAATTTTTGTTATTCATTTAATTTCTATGATTATATGATTATAATACTTATTCATTCCTCATACAATATGTCAAGACAAGTTCCAGGAAGGAATATGCAAGAACAATGAAAACTCAGTTTTAAAGCATTGACTAGATAGATTTAGATTCCATAACAAGAGGTTACATACAGTCTATATGCATGACACAAACACAATCAGGACATAAGTCTGTCATGATTGTCTAAACCAGGTTTAATTACATTTATTCTCAAAGCAATTAAGGTCCAAAGCTCCTCAACAGCATAAGTGAAAATTAAAAAACAAAAATCAAAAATCAAATTTACCTCCATTTTGTCATCTGAGACAAAATATTACAATTTTAAAAGAAATTGTTTGAAAGGTTCTCAGTTTTCACATTAAAACAATATAAAGTGCCATTTTTCAATCAAACCAGAATCTTAACACTTAAAAAGCAAAAGTGAAAATTATTAATATTTAAATTTTACGGACACCATCACGAGTTTGTTGACCTTTATGGAATGTCCGTTTCACAGATGATAGCGGATATGTTCCTAATGTCGTAATAGAATCCCATCCCCTTTTCCCAATTGTGACCTACCAAATTCACTTATAGGGTCTTTGCATCGGAAATAAACATATCTATTCTAAAACCAGTTGTTGGCATGATACGGGTTATGTTCTTCTCATATATTTTATGATGGTATGAAACTAAACCCCTAACTGGAGGGATTGTGCTTGATTTTCATATGATGAAGACATAATCTTTCAATCAGTTTAATGAGGTCTGAAGCTGGCATGTCAGTAACTGCTAGTAGTCCTTTGTTAATTTATGTATCATTGTCATTTTGCTTAGTTTCTTTTGTTACCTATTCTGACATCAGACTCGGACTTCTTTTAAACTGAGTTTTACTGTGTGTATTGCTGTGTGTTTGTTTATTCTACATTGGCTAGAGGTATAGGGGGAGGGTTGAGATCTCACAAAACATGTTTAACCCCGTCACATTTTTGTGCCTGTCCCAAGTCAGGAGCCTCTGTCCTTTGTTAGTCTTGTGTGTTTTTTAATTTTAGTTCATTTATATGTTTTGGAGTTTAGTATGATGTCCATTTTCACTGACCTGGTACACATTTTTGTTTAGGGGCCAGCTGAAGCCCGCCTCAGGGTGCGGAAGTTTCTCACTGTGTTGAAGACCCATTGATGGCCATCGGCTGTTTTCTGCTCTATGGTCGGGTTGTTGTCTCTTTGACACATTCTCCATTTCCATTCTCAATTTTATTGTTACCGGGTCTGTACTGGCATGAGCAACACCACGGGTGGCACATGTGGAGCAGGATCTGCTTACCCTTACGCTGCACCTGAGATCACCCCCAGTTTTTGGTGGGGTTCGTGTTGCTCAGTCTTTAGTTTACTATGCTGTGTTTTGTGTACTATTGTTTGTCTGTTGGTCTTTTTCTTTTTAGGCCATTATGGCATTGTCAGTTTATTTGAGACTTATGAGTTTGAATGTACCTTTGGTATCTTTCGCCCCTCTTCTAAAATGTATTTGAATAGGATTTGTTGAACAGTTCTCATGGTTCTGGCATGATCAAATGGAAATGACAATGCACAGTTCTTCATTAGAAATCAATAAAAAGGAGCATTACTCCTGACTACTAGCATGAACAACATGAACATCATTTGACCTTCTTTTTGGATCCGAAACAAATTATTGAAATTTTAACAAAAATGATTGGTTGAACAGGTCTCAATTCATCACACAGAAAAGATATAGGCACCATTTTTAATCAATCAAGTACCATTATAACTCCTGAATGACCGAAGTTAAAATTTTTGATACTGAACAGGATTTTCATTTTCTCATCAGAAGCAACATATCAAAAGTGAAAATGGTCAACATCAAACTTGGCCTCCATTTTGCCACAAGAAACAACACACTAAAATTGAAAAAAAGATTGATTGAAATGTTCTCAAGTTATTGCACTGAAAGAGTTAGAGACAACTGACAGCCAGACATCAAAATCTGATTCCAGGAGGTTTGGTAAATCTAAACAATAATGTTTAAATGAACTCTCAAAACATATATATTGTTTTAGTAAGAGCTGGTGAAGTCTTGTTAAATGAAAGCTGAGCTATCAAGCATAATTCAATACACTATTGACACATTATAATAGTGTTATGCAAATTTGAAATTGAAATGGCAACACTTTTAACATGTGATCTATGCAAAATTTCTAAAATCAATGCACTATGACTGAGGGTATAGGGCCATATAATCTCCATGGAAATCAGATATGCTAGTGCTTATTCAACTGCTCGCCAAATTTTAGTAATAACATTGACTTACGTGATTTCCCTTAAACTGACCTAATCACATATTAACTAAGCACAAGTTTCAAAGTAAATGAACCAATTTACTTAGGAGGCAGGGTCATATATATAATCTCCATAAAAATGAGATGTGCAAAAGCTAATACAATTGAATATCAAATATCATTGACTTGCTTTTAGTGTTTCAACTTAAATTGACAAAATCATGACTTTAGCAAATAAGATACAACACTCCTAAATCTCTCCATCTTGACTTTGTTAAGGCATAAATAGGGAAGAGGGGCATCACCTTAAAATTGTTCTCTTCAGTTTGGTTTCTATTCATCCTTTAAAAGATTTTTCATATTTTTCTCATATTGTCATGTTTTAAATTTCCATATAGATTGTTAAATAGTATGACTGATTGATTGTTGCTTGCTTAACTTCTAGTGTCATGTTACATACTGCAAAAGTTTAATATCAATTGAACCTTAAGATCAATTTTCTAAGGATTTTATTGTTTTGCGACAGAATATATATTCTATATTTAGAAATATTGAATGTAGTTATCATTTCCAACCACAGTTCTTAGAGGATCATATATTTTTCCATAGATTTACTGTAAATTCAGATATTATTGCAAGGTTTTTATTATTGCGAATATTGGGTGAAAATCACAATAATAAGCACTTGCATTCTGATACCCGATACATATATTTGTATGCAGATTTTCCTGAAATACAATAATAAATCTCGCATGTTTGTTCTTTCTTAAAAAAATCGCAATAATATAAGCATGTAATAAAATCTAAATTTACAGTAACTACATATAATTAGAAATCAGGAGATGTGGAATGAGTACCAATGAGACAACTCTCCATCCAAGTCACAATGTGTAAAAGGTAAACAATTATAGGTCAAAGTACAGCCTTCAACACCGATCCTTGGCTCACACCGAACAGCAAGCTATAAAGGGCCCCAAAATCACTAGTGTAAAACAATTCAAACAGGAAAACCAACGGACTAATCTATATAAAAAACGAGAAACGAGAAACACTTAAGAACCACATCAACAATTGACAACCACTGAACAACAGGTTCCTGACTTAGGACAGGTGCAAACAAATGCAGTGGGTTTCAACGTTTTAACAGGCACCAACCTTCACCCTAACCTGAAATAGTAGTGTAACATTACAACATAGAAAGACACACTATAAAATATCAATTGAAATGGCTTAACTCAATCAAAAAGACATATTAACAAAAACAAGTAAACATACACTGAATGAATAAATTTGATCTATGACACAATATAAATACAATTTCAAACAAGCATTCTGAGAGTATTGCATGGCAATACATAGTCATCTACTGGTTAAAAATTCATTCTTCTGGAACAAAATGCTAACTTGATTTATAACTTGTCATGGTGTAAACCATATAACAAATATCAAGTCAATATCTTCAAGCATGACAAAAAATAGTGTGGAAAACTGATTATTTAAGTGAATTTTCTAAGTCCAAGGACCATAACTCTGGACAAAATCATCAGACTGGAACAAAATTCCAACTTGATCTGTAACTTAATTGTCATGATAATACTATATACCTATTATCAAATCAGACTGGAACAAAATTCGAACTTGATGTGTAACTTGTCATGATAAAACTATATACCAATTATCAAATCAATATCTTCAAGCATGACGAAAAATAGTGTGGAAAACTGATTATTTGAGTGAATCTTTTAAGTCCAAGGACCATAACTCTGCACAAAATCATCAGACCGGAACAAAATTCGAACTTGATCTGTAACTTGTCATGATAAAACAATACACTAAATATCAAATCAATATCTTCAAGCATGAAGAAAATAAAAAGCTTCACCGAGTGCAGCCTGATACAACCGCAGAGATCAAACCCTGAACAGTTGGGGCAAATTTGGATATAATATTCAAGCTTGATACTGTCTGAATTTTGATTGTGATCAAATTTTTGACATAATATAGGTTTCTGACATAAAATAAATGTGGTAAAAGATCATACAAATCTATTGCGCAATACTGTGCAATTGAAGATTACTTCTTGAAACTTTTACAAAATTTGAAAAAATTGGAACCCCCCGCGACTTTTGGAATCCCTCCTTAGAACAATTACCCCAAGACTCGATCCAAATCTTTCCTTTATAGTATGGAACCTTGTAGTACAATTTCAGAGAGATCCATACACATCTAACACAAGTTATTGTTTGGAAACTAGAATAATGCATGTTTTTGGCCCTTTTTTGGCCCCAAATTCCTACATGTTTGAGGCAATTACCCCCAAACTAAATCCCAGCCTTCCCTTTGTGATATGGAACCTTATGGTACAATATCAGAGAGATCCATACACTTACACACAAGTTATGGTCCAGAAACTACAAAAATTGTTGTTTTTGGCCCCTTTTAGGCCCTTAATTCCTAAACTGTTTGCCCCATAACCCCTAATATGAATCCCATTATTATAAACCTTCTACTTGTGGTATTAAACATTGTTGTACAATTTCAGAGCAATCGAAATACTTATACACAAGTTATTATGAAAGTGAAATTATGAGTCCTGAAACTAGAAAAATGTTTGTTTTGGGCCCCTTTTGTGCCCCTAATTCCTAAACAGTTGGGACCATCATCCCTAAAATCAATTCCAACTTTCCTTTTGTGGTATTGAACCTTCTTAAAAAATTTCATACAGATCCATTAATTTAAACTAAAGTTATTGTCCGGAAACCAATGTGTCTTCGGACGACGATGCAGACAACGCAGATGACGTAGATGAAGCAGACGATGACATCATACCATTATACGATCCCAAAAATAAAAAGTGTGGATAACTGATTTGCCGGACTGATGGATGGACAGACAGACAGACAGATAGACGTAGTGCAAACCTAAAGTCCCCTTCAACTTCGTCGGTAGGTAACTAATAAAAAGGGGGGATGTAAAACAATGTCAAAAAGACAACTATAACCTTGGACAAAATGGCATTAAATAAAATAAAGTACACAGGTAAATTTAAATATAATAATTTTGTTGTTAGTATGCAAATATTTTTTACAAAATAAATAAATTTGTTGTTCATAGTACGAGAACAGAAGTGAAAATTTATCGTCATAATAAATACTTATCAAAGGTGGTACATAGTGAGACGAGATATAACACAAAATAAGTAAACATTGAATAACAAAAATACCTGTTTTTGGCACAATAGGAGTCTTCTCAGTGTCCTAAAATTACAAGAATGTCCTAGATAGAGTATTATTTTACATTATCTTCAATTTTTTGTCTGGAATGTCTAAAATTTAATTAAAAAACACATTTGTTCCTAATTTCCTTTTGTTTGAAATTGTGCTTTTCTTGTTTGCTTTTGGTATAATTCATATATGAGAGAACATTTTGTATATAGTTTCTAAAACTGTTCGTAAATACCGTTCTCACGGGCGTAGAAAAAATCGCAATCAAAGAAAATTTCGGACCAACCATACAAATATTTCGGACCTAATTTCTATTTCAAATAAAATGCTTCGCTGGGCGCAGCTTGATACGACCGCAGAGGTCGAACCCTGATCAGTTGGGGCAAGTATGGACACAACATTCAAGCTTGATACAGCTCTGAATTTGGATTGTGATTAAATATTTGACACAGCATATGTTTCTGACACAGAAAGAATGTGGTCTAAGAACTTCAATTTATTTAATTTACCTATTATGGTCCAATGTCCAAAATCAAAATACATGGTTAGATTCAGCATATCAAAGAACCCCATATATTCAATTTTTGTTGAAATCAAACAAAGTTTAATTTTGGACCCCAACTTGGACAAACTTGAAAACTGGTCCCATAATCAAAAATCTAAACACATGTTTAGATTCAGCATATCAAAGTACCCCAAGAATTCAATTTTTGTTAAAATCAAACTAAGTTTAATTTTGGACCCTTTGGACCTTAATGTAGACCAATTTAAAAAACGGGACCCAAAATTAAAAATCTAAAAACACGGTTAGATTTGGCATATCAAAGAACCCCAATAATTCAATTTTTGATGAAATCAAACAAAGTTTAATTTTGGACCCTTTTGACCTCAATATGAACCAATTTGATAGCAGGCCCACAAAATAAAAAATCTAAATACATGGTAAGATCCAGCATATCAAAGAACCCCATATATTCAATTTTTGATGAAATCAAACAAAGTTTAATTTGGACCCCAATTTGGACCAACTTGAAAACTGGGCCAAAAATCTAAAATCTAAATACATGTTTAGATTCAGCATATCAAAGAACCCCATATATTCAATTTTTGTTGAAATCAAACAAAGTTTAATTTTGGACCCCAACTTGGACCAACTTGAAAACTGGTCCCATAATCAAAAATCTAAACACATGTTTAGATTCAGCATATCAAAGAACCCCAAAAATTCAATTTTTGTTAAAATCAAACTAAGTTTAATTTTGGACCCTTTCGACCTTAATGTAGACCAATTTAAAAAACGGGACCCAAAATTAAAAATCTAAATACACGGTTAGATTTGGCATATCAAAGAACCCCAATAATTAAATTTTTGATGAAATCAAACAAAGTTTAATTTTGGACCCTTTTGACCTCAATGTGAACCAATTTCATAGCGGGCCCACAAATAAAAAATCTAAATACATGGTAAGATTCAGCATATCAAAGAACCCCATATATTCAATTTTTGTTGAAATCAAACAAAGTTTAATTTTGGACCCCAATTTGGACCAACTTGAAAACTGGGCCAAAAATCTAAAATCTAAATACATGTTTAGATTCAGCATATCAAAGAACCCCATATATTCAATTTTTGTTGAAATCAAACAAAGTTTAATTTTGGACCCCAACTTGGACCAACTTGAAAACTGGGCCCATAATCAAAAATCTAAACACATGTTTAGATTCAGCATATCAAAGAACCCCAAGAATTCAATTTTTGTTAAAATCAAACTAAGTTTAATTTTGGACCCTTTGGACCTTAATGTAGACCAATTTAAAAACGGGACCCAAAATTAAAAATCTAAATACACGGTTAGATTTGGCATATCAAAGAACCCCAATAATTCAATTTTTGATGAAATCAAACAAAGTTTAATTTTGGACCCTTTTGACCTCAATATGAACCAATTTGATAGCGGGTCCACAAATAAAAAATCTAAATACATGGTTAGATTCAGCATATCAAAGAACCCCAAGAATTCAATTTTTGATGAAATCAAACAAAGTTTAATTTTGGACCCTTTTGACCTCAATGTGGACAAAGTTGATAACGGGGCCCAAAAATCAAAAATCTAAATACATGGTTAGATTCAGCATATCAAATAACCCCATATATTCAATTTTTGTTGAAATCAAACAAAGTTTAATTTTGGACCCCGATTTGGACCAACTTGAAAACTGGGCCCATAATCAAAAATCTAAATACATGTTTAGATTCAGCATATCAAAGTACCCTAAAAATTCAATTTTTGTTAAAATCAAACTAAGTTTAATTTTGGACCCTTTTGACCTTAATGTAGACCAATTTGAAAACGGAACCAAAAGTTAAGAATCTAAATACACGGTTAGATTCGGCATATCAAAGAACTCCAATAATTCAATTTTTGATGAAATCAAACAAAGTTAAATTTTGGACCCTTTGGACCTCAATGTGGACCAATTTAAAAACGGGGCCCAAAATCCAAAAACTTAATACACGGTTAGATTCAGCATATTAAAGAACCCCAAGAATTCAAGAATAAAACCCCATAGAAATTGATCAAGAAATAAGCAATTTATACGAAGTATCTTCTTTTGCACAATACTGTGCAATTGAATATTTCTTGCTATTGTGCAATACTGTACAATTGACAATTTCTTGATATTGCGCAATATTGTGCTATTGGATATTTCTTGCTATTGCGCAAAACTGTGCAAATGAAGATTTTTTGCTATTGCGCAATACTGTGCAATTGAAGATTTCTTGCAATTGTGCAATACTGTGCAATTGAAAATTTCTTGCTATTGCACAATACTTATTATATAATAATTTACACATCCTGTTTGGTGTGTATCTCCTACCATATCATTATTATTTGCTTTTAAATATTAATCAGAAATAACCAACTTAAAATGCAAAATTTTAAAAGAAAAAAAAAAAGAAAAAAAGAAAAAAAAAGAAAAAAAAAATCCCCCCCAAATTTTTTGAACCCCCTTATGATTCATCACCCCCAAACTCAATCCCAGCCTTCCCTTTGTGGTATGGTACCTTGCAGTACAATTTCAGAGAGATCCATACACTTGAACACAAGTTATTGTCTGGAAACTAGAAAAATGCTTATTTTTGGCCCCTTTTTGGCCCCCAATTCCTAAATGTTTCGGGCAATTACCCCCAAACTCAATTCCAGCTTTCCCTTTGTGATATGGAACCTTGTAGTACAATTTCAGAAATATCCAAACACTTACACACAAGTTATTGTCATGAAACTAGAAAAATGCTTGTTTTTTGCCCCTTTTTTGGCCCCTAATTCCTAAAATTTTGAGGCAATTACCCCCAAAATCAATTACAGCCTTCCCTTTGTGATATGGAACCTTGTGGTACAATGTCAGAGAGATCCATACACTTACACACAAGTTATTGTCTGGAAGTTACAAAAATGCTTATTTTTGGCCCCTTTTTGGCCCCTAATTCCTTAACTGTTGGTACCATAACCCCCAAAATCAATCCCCATCTTCCTGTCGTGGTATTGAACCTTATGGTAAAATTTCATGGAGATCCATTCACTTAAACTAAAGTTAGAGTGTGAAAACCAATGTGTCTTCGGACGACGCCGGACGACGCCAGACGACGACGACGACGACGACGCCAACGTCATACCAATATACGACCAAAAAATTTTCAATTTTTGCGGTCGTTTAAAAACAACGGCAGACATAATTTATTAACCAAGCTCTGTTCTTTACCTATAAATAAATTAAATAAAATTTTAGATTGCAACACAATTTCATATTGCAGTCCTAAGTATGAAATAGTTCAAATTATAATGGCATAATTTGTTATTCTAAACTGTTTCCCAAAATTGATCGCCCTGAAAATCATAAAAAACATTTTATTAAAATAAAGTATGTCAATAAAGGTTTTGATTTTGTAAATATTGCCGGTATTTTTAACGACCATTCTGTTAAAGAACAAATTCCTGGATATTTTTATAATACTGAACTCCCTCTTATTTGTTATATTTACAAGAAATCTACCCGAAAATTTGTGTTTAATTATAGCCAAGTCTGTAAAGATGTAAATATCAGTGAAAATACACCTACGTCATGTAATTGTAGTAATTCCGAATACACTTATGGCCCCATTTCCCATGTTATAACAGGAGACCTTAACATCGTTCGCGACCAAGAGTTAAAATCATTCCTCAGTAAAGGACCTAAATATCGTCCCCCATCAATTATTAATTGGAATGAGTGTCGTAATATCATACACGACTCACTTCGTGCTTACTGTTTGAAATGGATAAAACGGGAAAAAGCTGACAAATAATCTTTGGACTCTTTTTTTAATTCAGTAATGAAGATAGTTGATATACCTATACAACATTTTAAAGAACATTTTACTTTTAACAACAACCATAAAAATCCTATTTCTCGTATCAAACATAAACTGAAAGAACTTATCATCGTATAAGGACATCATTCGTAAATATAAATCAACATGCAGACATCTTATACGTTCAGGTATTTCACATCCAATCTTTTATGGTAATATTCTTTACAAAGCACAAAAATGTCAGTATTCACCTCAAAAGCTAACAAAACCTTTAAACAGACTTATTAAGAAGGGATATAGTTACGATACTGTTGTCAGGTCATTAAAGATTGCATATTTTGGCTTTAATATTGATTCACTTATAGGGTCTTTGCATCGGAATTAAACATATTTATTCTAAAACCAGTTGTTGGCATGACACGGGTTATGTTCTTCTCATATATTTTATGATGGTATAATACTAAACCCCTAACAGGAGGGATTGTGCCTGATATTCATATGATGAAGACATAATCTTTCAATCAGTTTAATTGAGGTCTGGAGCTGGCATGTCAGTAGTTGCTAGTAGTCTGTTGATATTTATGTATTATTGTCATTTTGTTTATTTTCTTTTGTTTCCTATTCTGACATCGGACTCGGACTTCTCTTGAACTGAGTTTTACTGTGCGTACTGTTGTGCGTTTGTTTTTTCTACATTGGCTAGAGGTATAGGGGAGGGTTGAGATCTCAAAAAACATGTTTAACCCCTCCGCATTTTTGCGCCTGTCCCAAGTCAGGAGCCTCTGGCCTTTGTTAGTCTTGTATCATTTTTAATTTTAGTTTCTTTTTGAGTTTAGTATGACGTCCATTTTCACTGAACTAGTATACCTATTTGTTTAGAGGCCAGCTGAAGGACACCTCCGGGTGCGGGAGTTTCTCGCTGCATTGAAGACCCATTGGTGCCCTTCAGCTGTTGTCTGTCTATGGTCGGGTTGTTGTCTCTTTGACACATTCCCCATTTCCATTCTCAATTTTATGTACAAATTGTCTTACAACAGTTCTTACTTTTCACAAAGTTTAATTTTATGTGCATGCATGGGTCATGAAGAAAGTGTTGACGGTTTGCATGGGTGGGATTATAGGATAATAATTCAATTTTGGATGTAACACGTCTTCTGATTGGCTGAAAGAATTTGTCTATCAGCTCTAAGACATAATTTTGTCATGTGACCATGACAACATTAACCCTTTTTTTCATGATTTCAGTTGGAAAGCAAGTCCTTAGAAACGTCCGTTGTCGTCAAGCTCTATCAGCAACAGTAGCAGGGGGAATTAATTAGGTGGCGCTACAGTCGTCGGTGACGTCAAAAAGTCCGCCAAATCAATCAGCTAAAAAATCGACGTTTAAACTATTTTTTTTAACTTCTCATGCTTTTATTATAATTGATTTTTAAAGTTTGTAGGTTTTGTGAGCAATATAGTTTCAATACCACATAGATACATTGTCCAAAATAACTTTTATTTGCTATTTCTTTATCCTGTCCGTTCTAAAAACTATCAGCCATCTTTTTTGTTCGCCAAAAACATTGAATTTAAATAACTTGACGTTTCGCGTATCCAAATACCGAAAAGAACGATAAAAATCTTAAATGAAACCGGGTAACCTATTTCAAGTTTCTACACAATTATGAAGCCATCATTTTTTACTGTAATACATCAATTTTAGTGACCACCAGTCATGTTAATTTGTAGCTGGTTTTGGCTGCGTTTCTTGTTTAAAACAGTGAATGTTCAACTTCTTTTCATTGTACCTGTTTCCAAAGTACTCTAAAATACTGATTTTATTAGAGATATGAATGAAATTGTGATTAAAAATTGTTGTTTTTCACAATTCCATACAATACTTCCATTTCAAAGTTACTAAAACCCTTCTTGATCCCCTACACAAATTGACAGTGACATTGTTTTCTTTTTTCAACACACGTCATATAACGTTAACAAAATATGTGTCAGAGTCATGTGCATAGTGAACATTTACACATTGGAAAAGTGAAACAAAGGTCATTTTTATTGCGTTTGAAACTGTACGTCTTAGAAAATTTCATTCATACTGGATACAAATCTGACAAATTAATGATGGCCTATGGATGGACAAGTTTTTATCATGACAGTGGTATTTTAGTGAGTAATAATATGCTCCACAGGGCGCAGCTTGATATGACCACAGAGGTCGAACCCTGAACAGTTGGGGCAAGTATGGACACATTATATTCAAGCTTGATACAGCTCTGAATTTGGATTGTGATTAAATATTTGACACAGCATAGGTTTCTGACACAGAATGAATGTGGTCTAAGAACTTAAAAATTTTAAATTGGACATTCACCTATTATGGTCCAATATCCAAAATCTAAATACATGGTTAGATTCAGCATATCAAAGAACCCCAAGAATTCAATTTTTGATGAAATCAAACAAAGTTTAATTTTGGACCCTTTTGACCTCAATGTGGACAAAGTTGATAATGGGGCCCAAAAATCAAAAATCTAAATACATGGTTAGATTCAGCATATCAAAGAACCCCATATATTCAATTTTTGTTGAAATCAAACAAAGTTTAATTTTGGACCCCGATTTGGACCAACTTGAAAACTGGGCCCATAATCAAAAATCTAAAGACATGTTTAGATTCAGCATATCAAAGAACCCTAAGAATTCAATTTTTGTTAAAATCAAACTAAGTTTAATTTTGGACCCTTTGGACCTTAATGTAGACCCAATTTGAAACGGAACCAAAAATTAAGAGTCTAAATACACGGTTAGATTTGGCATATATCAAAGAACCCCAATAATTCAATTTTTGATGAAATCAAACAAAGTTTAATTTTGGACCCTTTGGACCTCAATGTGGACCAATTTAAAAACGGGGCCCAAAATCCAAAAACTTAATACACGGTTAGAATCAGCATATTAAAGAACCCCAAGAATTCAAGAATAAAACTCCATTGAAATTGGTCAAGAAATAAGCAATTTATACGAAGTATCTTCTTTTGCACAATACTGTGCAATTGAATATTTCTTGCTATTGCGCAATACTGTACAATTGACAATTTCTTGATATTGCGCAATATTGTGCTATTGGATATTTCTTGCTATTGCACAATACTGTGCAATTGAAGATTTCTTGCTATTGCGCAATACTGTGCAATTGAAGATTTCTTGCTATTGTGCAATACTGTGCAATTGAAAATTTCTTGCTATTGCACAATACTTATTATATAATAATTTACACATCCTGGTTGGTGTGTATCTCCTACCATATCATTATTATTTGCTTTTAAATATAAAACAGAAATAACCAACTTAAAATGGAAAATTTTAAAAGAAAAAAAAAGGAAAAAAAGAAAAAAAAGGAAAAAAAAAAAAAAATCCCCCCCCCAAATTTTTGAACCCCCTTATGATTCATCACCCCCAAACTCACTCCCAGCCTTCCCTTTGTGGTATGGTACCTTGCAGTACAATTTCAGAGAGATCCATACACTTGAACACAAGTTATTGTCTGGAAACTAGAAAAATGCTTATTTTTGGCTTATTTTTGGCCCCTTTTTGGCCCCTTATTCCTAAACGTTTTGGGCAATTACCCCCAAACTCAATTCCAGCTGTCCCTTTGTGATATGGAACCTTGTAGTACAATTTCAGAAAGATCCATACTTTTACACACAAGTTATTATCATGAAACTAGAAAAATGCTTGTTTTTTGCCCCTTTTTTGGTCCCTAATTCCTAATATTTTGAGGCAATTACCCCCAAAATCAATCCCAGCATTCCCTGTGTGATATGAAACCTTGTGGTACAATTTCAGAGAGATCCATACACTTGAACACAAGTTATTGTCTGGAAACTAGAAAAATGCTTATTTTTGGCCCCTTATTCCTAAACGTTTTGGGCAATTACCCCCAAACTCAATTCCAGCTTTCCCTTTGTGATATGGAACCTTGTAGTACAATTTCAGAAAGATCCATACACTTACACACAAGTTATTGTCATGAAACAAGAAAAATGCTTGTTTTTTTGCCCCTTTTTTTGCCCCTAATTCCTAAAATTTTGAGGCAATTACCCCCAAAATCAATCCCAGCATTCCCTGTGTGATATGGAACCTTGTGATACAATGTCAGAGAGATCCATACACTAACACACAAGTTATGTCTGGAAGTTACAAAAATGCTTATTTTTGGCCCCTTTTTGGCCCATAATTCCTTAACTGTTGGTACCATAATCCCCAAACTCAATCCCAACCTTCCTTTTGTGGTATTGAACCTTATGGTAAAATTGCATAGAGATCCATTCACTTAGACTAAAGTTAGAGTGCGAAAACCAATGTGTCTTCGGACGACGCCGGACGACGATGACGACGCCAACGTCATACCAATATACGACTGCAAAAATTTTTTGCCGTCGTATAAAAATGAGGTTTGTCTCATCCGTAGTTATATTGAATTTTCACGGTCACGTGACTCTATTGTTGCTGATAGACTTGGGGTCAAACCGTGACCTGCTTTCCAACTGATTTACTCCTTAAAAATGGAATAGAATTAAATGATAAGGAATGACTAAAATTTTTTTGTCTATTCGAAATAACCTCAAAAATGTGGTGCACACTTCTAAATAACCCGCTACACAGGTTATTTGTGCACCACATTTTCTATGTTATTTAAGGAATGACTAATATTTTTTCTGTCTATGAAGAAATAACATCAAAAATGTGGTGCACACTGAATAACCCGCATAGCGGGTTATTTTAAAGTGTGCACCACATTTTTTATGTTATTTCGAATAGACAGAAAAAACATTACAGTCATTCCTTATAATTTAATTCTAAATTCCATTTTAAACCGGAGTAAATCATGAAAAAACGTTGACGACGTCACGGTCACATGGCTAAATTATGTCTATGAGCTGATAAACAAAACACCGTCAGCCAATCAGAAGACGCGTTACATCCAAAATTAAATTATTTCTTCATAGACAGAAAAAATATTATAGTCATTCCTTAAATATTTAAGGTTCAAGATTTAAATGTATCATTCTTTATAAGAAACTTTTTTTTTCATGCCAGTACCTTAGTTGTGTATAAAGTTGCTGTTTTATTTTTTGTCTATGTGATTAGTAGAAGTTTGTACTACTATAATGTTTTAAAAGTTTTGTCGCAAGAAAAGATAAGTTAATGGAAACAATCAATCCTAATTCTGTGTTGTCTTGTTTTGTCCAATTTGAGCTTGAATTTTACTAATAGTTTTTGGACTGTAAAGCTACATATATTTTTCTTTGATCAAAATAGGTCATAGAATGAAATTAAGTAATGCAGAAGTCATTATAGCAAGCTTGGTTTTGTTACAGTTGTACCACTTTAATTCAGTAAATATGTAGAATATTTTGGCATTTTTTGGAATATTATCAACTTAAGTTGCTTTCTTATTTCACCTGGTCTGGCTCCTTTTGGAGTTAATGCAATTCTCTCAATTTGTGTTACCTTAATGATTTGTCTTCTTAATGAATTATGAGATTTGGACATGTTGACTATATATATAGTTTAGAAAGAGTAAGGTACTTTCCATAAACTTCTGTGAGGGAAGCATAAAACAGTAATCAGTTGAAAAATGTACAGTCAAATCAAATATAAAGATAATAAGTTCTTACCTGATTATCAAAATCTGACCGAAGATTTATAACTGTCTTAATATTCGCGTCAGACCTAGCTCCAGCTAAAAAAGTAGTTACTTTTCATATTAACAGATTTCAAAACATTTTATTACAAATAACTGCATGTACCTGGTCGTTTGGTAGTATCTATTTTTTTTAAAAACCAAAATACATGTGCAATACTAGAGAGAAAATTATGAGCAAGTATAGTGTTTTAATAAAAAATGTTAATACTCATTTAAAGTACATGTACATAGTTATGACAAACTGTTACTTTCTGTAAGAATGTTCATTGATAATTAAAATTCTTAATTTTGGCATCTAGTTAAAATGAATTATTCCAAGAGCCAGGTAGTCAGTTCAGCTGTTGTTTATAATATGTTAGGCCTGTCAATCAAAAGTATATTTATTTGAGCAGAATGAATTGTTGTCTGTATCCTCAAATCATCCTGAAAAAGGGAACTTAATTATAACAATTGAGAATTGGATATTGTTTGATATCAACTCGAGTTCTTTAATTTCAATAAAATAATACACAAGCCATCGGCAAGTTTATTATAACTATTAAAAACAAATAACAAGAGTTGATATCAAGCGATACCCTATTCTCAAGAGTTGTTAATCTATTTCTCTTATGGGCAACACTCTCATTGTGTTAAATCAAAAATTTTGGGAATCGTTGATCTAGTCTTTTGCTTATGCCATTATGACGTCATATGTCCTGTTCTGGCGTCAAACTTTCACAACAGACATTTAAAAACTTTTTGGACACTTCAGAATGTAAGAAAATGTGACAAAAAGAAGATTTTCAGGTGAAAAGTGAAGTGTTTTGTATATCATTAAAGAAGCCACAATATGTCAGTTGCCATGGACGAAATGTACATTGTCTTAAACTTTGAAAGTCATCACTATATCATGTTTATATAACAAAAAGCTAATGGAAATGTCGTAATATCATCTCATGATGCTGGATAAGCCAACCAAATTACCGCAGTTTTCGTATCACTTTTTTGGTTTTACTCCATGCAGAGTGATACTATAAATAGCTCAGTAAAAAATTCAATAAAAAATTCAGTTTGTAAACTAGAAACTGTATTTACTGTTAAAACTATGAACTAAAGTTGCTGCTTGTCAGCAGATTATTCCATTAATGTATTACCTGTATCAGCTTCAGCCCATATCTTTGAATTCCTTAAGTACCGGTAATCTATAAAAGTAAAAAAATATTTCTCATGTTATCTTTTTGATGACAAAATTACATACATAGCACCTGTATATATATAAATCATATAAATTTAAAAATCCTATTTCATTTAATAAACTTTGATAAATTCAGATGCCTACATTGTAGCTCATACATCATACAATGTTTTAATCTTTGGATATATCATTATCCATATGATGATGTGCAATTTTCAGGATATCCATAATGATTTTAAATCTTTTTCTCTCTCATTTTCCAATTAGTTAAATGTAATCATTTTTTTATACTCGTTTTGAAAAGTGTGGTATTTTGTATATAATTGAAGAAATCACATAATTTTGTTGCCATGGATGAAATGTTCATCGTCTTACCTTTTGAAAATCATCATTGACGTAACAAAAGCCGATGGAAATGTCATAAGATTGTCTCATGATGCTGGATAATCCAATCAAATTATCACAGTTTCATATCACTTTTTCGTTTCACATTCCGTGCATTGTGATACGATAAATAGCTCTTCATGCAAGAAATAGATAACAGGCCACGACTATAAGAGAAAGCATCTAAACTTGAACAGATTGAACTATTATCTGTGACACTGATATTTGATGATAGTCAGCATAGTTGAGATGATCACCTCTATCCTTTAACAAGCATGAGAAGCAAAATTTTCAACTTAACCATTTGGAATCCTTGATTTAGAAGTTTTCCTGTTTGAAACTCCATCAAGATAATCCTAATTGAAAACTTAACATCCTGCAGTACCGATTTTTAACTGAGTGAATTATTCGTTATATTATCATGTGTGTAGGTAAAACTAGGATGCTACTACAAATGAATGTCAAGTTTCAACTGGGAAATTGAAGTCCTCTCTTTTGTAAATTAAGAAATAATTCATGGGGGCTTGAATATATCGTGATTTTACCACGGGTTGGCCCTTTATGACAAATATTTTACCCTGAGCGATAGCGAGGGGTAAAATATCGGCATAAAGGGACAACCCGTGGTAAAATCACGATATATTCAAGCCCCCATGAACTATTTCGATTCTAATAGGACAAATACGGCAATTGTTTTGGATCAAAGCGCTCTAGATGAAGGCTTTATTTGCTGTTCCCATAAATAAACGCACTATTAAATTGACGTAAAAGAACTGAATAAATGACATGCTTAAACTATTTACAATAACATATTTAGATAGGTTTGGATGAATCTAAATGATAATTGTACTTATATGTCATATATGTATACAAAAAATGGCTTATATAACACATTTTAGCATCGTTTGTTTACGTTTCCTTGTTGTGATGATTTTCGGTTTCACAACCGTGTATTTTCCCGTAAAATGCTTATATTCTTACGTCATCATTCTATGACGTCGGGTAGCTCATTCATAAAAAAGCATATGACGCGGGAGTACGATCGGAACAGCCCAAACAATATATTCATATTTTACCACGGGTGTGTACTCAAAGCGTTTGAAGAACGTCATGTTAGAATGAGCATTAACTTACAGACATGACAGACTAGAACATTTCATAATAAAGGGACCTGAACCTGACACTGTCATGAAATATAAGTTCCTCATAATATAAGTTCCAAATGAAAGAAATATTATGGAATATTATTTCCACTGGAACAAATATTACAGTATTTGTTCTAATGGAATAAAGGTTATACCATATATGTCAACAGTAACAGATATTATGGCATTGTTTATGACAAAGTTTCCTGGGGAACTTCTGTTAGGCGGAACAAATATACATTGACAACTTAAGTAAAGTACAAAAGTCAGTTTGTAAACTAGAAACTGTATTTACTGTTAAAACTATGAACTAAAGTTGCTGCTTGTCAGCAGATTATTCCATTAATGTATTACCTGTATCAGCTTCAGCCCATATCTTTGAATTCCTTAAGTGATCTACAAAAGTAAAAAAATAATTCTCATCAATGTTATCTTTTTGATGACAAAATTACATACATTAAGCACCTGTATATAAATAAAACATATAAATCTAAAAATCCTATTTCGTTTAATAAACTTTGATAAATTCAGATGCCTACATTGTAGCTCAAAATATCTCATACATCATACAATGTTTTAATCTTTGGATATATCATTATCCATATGATGATGTGCAATTTTTTGGATATATATATTTATATATCTTTTTTTCAAATAAGTTAAATGTAAACATTTTTTTAAGGACTTCACATTATCAAAAGAATAATAACTATTTTTACACAGAATATATGTACCAGGTACCTACAAAAAGAAGTTTTACACTTACCTATATGCTGGTCTTGTTTAGAAGTTCCTTCCTGCTGTAGTTTATACAATTGTGAATCACAGGGGTTGGTTGGACTTGCTGGCATATTGTCACATATATATCAATCCTGAAAGTTTATTTTGAATTTTTTATTACAAATTATATTTTTATTAATCATCACGATCAGGATAACATCAATATCAAACTATATATTTCATAAAATGATCTTGATATATTTTCAAACCTGAAAAAACAATTACAATAATGGACATTAAGGTACATGCAATATAGCTGTGGAACTGTGTCTCATAGGTCCTTATGATATTTTTTGACAATTTGAGGGTCTATGATACGCAAATTGTCAAAAAAATATCATAAGGACCTATGAGCTACAGTTCCGAAGCTACATGTAATAAAGCCCCCACTTCTTGAGTGATGGTATAATAATAATATATTTTTGGGGGGTTCTTTTAAACTTTTTCATAAATATCCTAAATAAATGCAGACATGAGATCACTTGCCATGCAATTTTTAAAATAATTTCACAGATTGAATCCACTTGCAGAAACTCATTTTAAGGTTTACAGTTTAACCCCATAATTGCAAAAAACAGACAGTGGCATTAAATCAGCAGGTCAACAAAAGGCTGTCAGAGTGAGCAAACCGGATTTTCCTGCAGAGGTCGAACCCTGAACAGTTGAGCAAGTATGGACACAACATTTAAGCTTAAAACAGCTCTGAATTTGGATGGTGATTGAATAGTTGACACAGCATAGGTTTGTGACACAAAATGAATGTGGTCAAAGAACTGAAAAATTTGAAATCGGACATTTACATATTATGGTCCAATCTCCAAAATCTAATAACATTGTTATAATCAGCATATCAAAGAACCCCAATAATTCAATTTTTGATGAAATCAAACAAAAATTTAATTTAGGACCCTTTGGACCTCAATGGGGTATTATCCAATTAATAATAATAATAAATAAAGGTTTAGATTCAGCATTTCAAAGAACCGGGCCTATATATATTCAATTTATGTTGAAATCAAACACAGTATAATTTTGGACCCCGATTTGGACCAACTTGAAAACTGGGCCCAAAATCAGAAATCTAAATATATGTTTATTAATAGACAAACTAAGCTAAGTTTTTATAGGAGTTTGCTTCATCAAAAAAAATATATATATAGGACTCAGAAAATAAGTTTATACAGAATAACAAATAAACCAACCACAAAATTCTCCAAACAATTTACAAAAGAAAAGAAGAAAAAAAATCCAACATGTCATTTATCATTAATACAAAATCTATTTAAAATTGATAAAACTTATCTGTAATTATATTCAAAATGTCTAATAATGAACAGTAAATTTCAAACTTTATTTATACTGTCCTACAGATATTATCATCAACACTTAGGAAACAGAAAATTTTCAAATAAATCTGTCACTCCAATTATAATTGTGAGATAAGATATTTACCAGATGCATTGTTATCTATAAACAGGTGAAAATTATTTAAAAACACTTAGTGTAATCAAACTTTATATATATAATTAATAGTTCCCAATATTTTTTCTTTCATTTGCCACAAACTAATATAGATCTGCAACTTATCTATCAATGTCAATAATTTTATCTACACAATGTAATGTAGATTATTATCTAATGAAAATGATATTTGCAAATCACAATTTCTGTTCAAAGGGAAATAACTCAAATTCATATAATAAAAATAAATTTTGCTACATGTATTGAAAGAACCAAAAATCCAACGAGAACAGCTAAAATCGTGAAAATTGAACTTGAACTTCATTTAGTCAAGGTAACAACATATCTAAATTTGAGAAGATTTCGTCAAAGCGTTTTCATGTTAATGAACGGACACTGTGTGTCAGCCGCCCGCCCAACCAAATCAATAACCAATTTTTCCTTCGAAAATCCGGTTAATAAAACTGAACTCAAAACACCCCTCACAAAACTGTTGACCTATCTGTCAGTCATTTAGGCACTAATTACCAGCAGTCATGGCCTTCGACGGTGGGGCACACCCATCAATAAGGACAAATCAGGTTTTCAGGGCATACATGTATCATACGATTTCAACATTTTACATGATGTAATCTATTTATTCTTCGAACTTTTTAATTAATATAGAAAATGAAGAAATGAATGAAATTTATGTTTACGTATTTATCAAGTGTAGCATATTATTTGAAAATTAAAATAAAAATAAAATAATCCTGTGTTAAAGTATGTCAGTATATTTCTTAAACACAAATGATCACAATATTATATATTTGAATTTTTATGTACATCAGTTAAACTTTGTATAGATAAACATTTTCAAATGCAGTGTGTTAAAGCCTGTACCAAGTCAGGAATATGACAGTTGTTTTCAATTTGTTTGATGTGTTTGAGCTTTTGATTTTGCCATATGATAAGGGACTTTCCTATTTGAATTTTCCTTGGAGTTCGGTATTTTTGTTATTTTACTTTTTATATGAATAAATTCAGTGTCCACAAGTTATGTTGGGCTATCAGCTATATAGATAGATTGTAGTATTTTATTGATATGGACTTAGAATATATACATGAGATAGTTGTTGATAACTAATTTGAATAAAGAGTCAAAAGATGGACAATAAATGTATGCGCAACAAAAGGTTGCTGATAAATACCCCTTTATGAGGATCTTCCCCAACCTGTCTAAATAACAACAACTGACAATAGATAATTGTATCATTGTAACATTTGTGTTCAGGGGAGGAGCCAGCATTACTACGACTTCTACGGTGATGTTATACCGCATATAATAACTTCTATTTTCGGAATAGAGGATATGACATTATTTATAATATTATAAGTTCCCCCAAAAAGTACTTTCCATTGAAAAAAAAAAGAAATAGAACTCTTACAATTTTATTCCTGTCTTGAACAACCACCTGAAAAAAAGAAAAAAAAAATAATTAATACTCTGAATTATAAATTACAAATCATATACATGATCATGTGTTTTTGGAAGCATCTTATCTAACCTTTTAACAATTTACAAGCATTAGCAATGATATTCATCATACTTATGTCTTTCAGTTCCTTTAAAAAGTGAAGCTACCAATTACAGCAAACCCAGTTAAATGTCAAAATTGAACTTAACCTCCAGTAACATATGTTTATGAAAGTTTGAAAAGCATTGGTTGAATGGCTATTGCACAGAAACAGCTGGTGCTGCCCGCCCAAAGGAGCCAAGAAAAGTTTGAAGAAAATTTTCCTTGCACAATGAGTGTTGTAAAATTTCAAACTATCCACAAAACAGCAAGTGGCTATACACCACAGATGTAAAAATTGCTTAATTACTACAACTCAACATTATCAAGCTGCAGACCAAATATGTACCGATTATCAGGTTGTTTGCATACTGATATCGTAAAATATCAGCTGCGAGTCACAATATGAAGCTTTTTTCGAGTGAGCGCAGCTAACAAGATCAAAAAGGCTTCATATTGTGTCGAGCAGTTGATATTTTACGATATCAATATGCAAACAACCTGATAAACAGACACTGGCAGACAAATGGAAGGAGTCCAGCAGTTACGTAACCTGTTTCCGCCTTAGGTTCCTTGTAGCCTATACTTTATTTACATTAAAAAGTCCATGGTCAATGCAATAATAAGAACAAATAATCGAAGAATTCAAATATCGAAAAATATTCAACTTGTGAAATAAAAACACTGATAATTAACTCATGTGCTACACACATTAATTTTGTTTGGTCACTCTTTGAATACTTTTTTATATTTGAATTTTTTTATTATTTATTCTATATCATGTATATATAACACAAAAAACTCACAGAACATTGTACTATTTAGAATTCAAAACAAACTGATTTACCAGACCGGTCTGGAAATATTCTTGTTGCATGCATGACTCACTATTTATTTTCAGGCCTGCATGTACATCTTGTAACCAGGTACAATTTCTATGTAGTATTGTAATTATATCTTATCATATGCCCTACATGGGATTACATCTTAATGTTTTCTAAAAAAGTAAAGTAACTGTAGCAAATTAAAGACAAGTAGCAACTGCCAACCTGAAGTTTAAAAGATAAATTAATTCTAGCTTTACAATTGCTTTAATATGTATTACCATAATTGGCTGTGAGGTAAAATGAATTTAGTATCTTGCAAGACCACATGCTAAAGCAAAATCATGTTATGTCATACAATCTATATATAAATCATTGATGTCATCAGAGATATTTACACATATGTGTATATATGTCTCTGATGTCATCAAGAGTAATTTTGAAAATTCCTATCTTTATTTTTAGTTTAGGTTTTTTTTTGGAACTCGTTGTTCTAGCAGACATTTATACAAGTAAATATGTCAATGGTTCTAGTTTATATAATATATACATATTTATCTATTACACTTGCAGAGGCCAAACACAAATATATGTGTTCCTTTTCTGATAAAAAGTACTAGCTAAAAATTGGTTCTACTTTCATTTTGTTCTAAACTTACTAAAGTCAGTAAAGTGAAAATAAAGATGTATAAATGTTTTCAGTATATAAATTATCATGCCGTATAAAAATTATTCACACATTAATAGCAGCATTTACTTCCTATTCCTTTCCTACTTGTGTGTCCATGTATATCTTAAACGATGCCTGCCCGATCATCATGGCCTATATGTATCGTTTCTACCTGGGAACCGTATATCTAACTATATATATGTTCCGGTTTCTACAGATATATAAATACATTTATTACGTCTCTGGTTTTTCCAGAGACATATATACACATGTGTATATATGTATATCCTAGAGCACAGTCCCTTGGTGTCTCCTGCAGATGAACAAATTTCCATCTTTATAGATAATAAGTTAAGGTTGATCAAACTTTATTATTAATACTTTTTTTTTTTTACACTGCTGGACATAAGGAAGGTAAAAAGAAAAAAAAAATACCCAAGAGTACTTTTAATGTATTTTTGTTATTAATACTATTTTCATTGTCTATTATAATATCTGTCACGTTATATACTGTACAATGTCTCATGTTTGTTGCTTCTACTATCATAATTGTTAATTGTAAATGCCCCCTGTGGGACCATGATTGGAATAATAAATATTTGATTTGATTTTATATGTCTCTGGGTTTTTCCAAGTTGATGATCAGTCAGGCTTATATAATTCAGCTATAATATTTCCTATCAATGTTAAATGTGTTATATATTAAATGCTTTACTTTACCTGAATACCTAGTTCCCAATTTTAATCAATGTAAGTTGTAACTTGTAAGAAATCTTCAAAACACATCCATGATGATGATCACATGCTAAATGTGGTGTGTATTTTTTAAATACACCTTATCGCTATTTGTCCGCCATTACTGGACATCACACAGGTTCCCGTACAATTTCGACGTCATAATACAAACTATCTGACGCCACAATGGAAAAGTGATTGTTGTATGACGTCAAAAGTTCAAGCGGGACAGATTCTCGGGTCAGGCGGGAATAGCGATAAGGTGTATACGTTTGACCATGCGTTGGTTTTTTTGGGCGGGAAACTGTCTATAATATCCCAGGTTTTTGGCTGATGAGTTTTGTACAGGTGTTTCATTAAAATTTATTTACAGCCGATTGCATTGAGTGTGTAGGTAAAGGTAATATCTTTGGTTAGCTTGCTTGCTAGATGAACCGTGAAGTCATTATTAGGTTAGGTAAACTCCCCTCCTTTAAGAGTAGACTAGTCCGACAGATAACCAATCTATCTGTCTGTAGGACTAGGCACTTTGGAAAGGAGGGGAGTATACCTTAACTAATAATGACTTCACGGTTCAGCTAACAAGCAAGCTAACCAAAGATATTACCTTTACCTGCACACTCAAGGCAATCGGCTGTAAAGAGTTATCAGTGAAAAAGAATGGAACTAGTTTTTTATTCTGCCTTTTAAATTCATCCTTAAAAATAAAATCTGGGAGTTGGTTTTGTTTTGTTTTATTAATTTCTATATATCATTACAAATGAAAGTCAATCTGTTAAAGCAGACTTATATGAATTAATTGCTTTGGGATCCAACAAAATTCAATTTGTATTTTAATTCCTTTATCGATCTTTATCATTTATATCAAACCACAACATGTGAAAAAGCAAAAAAAAATAAAATCTGAACTGACTTGTGTAACGCTGAGGTTTCACGAAATCCCGCAAAGGGTTCCTTAAAATAATATAAAAAGTTTTTTTTTAAAAGTATATCAATATTCTTACACATGTATCATATTGAAACTAAAGCCTTATAAGAATCTCTCACTTCAGACTCTTAGTTCTCTCTGTTTATAGATCCCTCAAATTAAGACGTGTGCATGGTAGCCAATCATAAGACCAAATATGCAAGATTTCATCTTCATCATGAACTGATTTGTTTTTTTTTTGTATTGCAAATGATTGTAATTTAATCAATTGAAGTAATCTTCAAAACACATTCATGTTCATGATGATCACGTACTAAATATGTGTGTATTTTAATACTTTTTGGCATGCGTTTTTTTTTGGGGGGGGGGGGGGGGGAATAACAGAAAAACCCCTATTCTTTACTGTCTATAAATAAATTGTTGTGTGTAAAAATTCCATCAGCCAA